TCTTGGAAGAAAACAGTTAACATCAGTAGGATTAGATCAGTTTTTCAGGACTGTATCTGGTAATTTGAGTAAGACTTGGAAATAACTATACAAAACATAAAAATGTGTTATATTCCTACCTCCTGGTTTTAAAAGCCTACATTGTTATTTCTTTGAGTTCTTAGTGATAGTTATTTATTTGTTGTTTTGTTTTTCCCTCTAATAGAAAGGATAGATGTACATGTATAGGCTTATATATAAGGTTCACAAGCATTGATTTTAGTATGTGTGACAGTATGAACAACTACACTGAAGAAAAGGAGACACCGTGGCAGTCATTGATAATTTCCTATCAGTTTGATTCAAAAACCGATGACGTTTTTATTCTTGGTTTTGATTGGTTTTAGTCTTTTCAATTATTTGGTTTCAATATGTGTGAATGTATGGACAGCTATGTTGAAGAAAACAAGAGACATTATGGTAACCATTATTGATTTCCTAGTGTCTGGTCTTAAAAGCCTTTAAGGCTCTCATTCTTTTGTTTTGATTGCTTTTAGACTATTTTGATTTGTATTAATTTACTGTGTATGAAGGTATAGACAACTATTTCAAAGAAAACAAGAGACATTATGGTAACCACTGTTGATTTCTGTTGTCTTTTTCTGAAATTCTATGTTAAACACATTGTTTTACTCTGCTGTGCTTTGTTTTATCTTTAAAATAAAAAAATTAATTTTCCTGATAACTAAAGCTTATCTCTTAATGTGATTTTAACAATAACAATAATGCATTTTTAAGAAAATCTTTCTAGAATAAAGAGATCTCTGTCACACATTTCCTTTATAAGTGAAGTTAACCAAGTGCAATCTAGCTTTTTCTTAACAACTCAATAAAGTATCTACTCTGTACCACTTAAATATTATGAACATTTATTCTTATACCATTCTATAATGCAGTAATAAGGCCAAAGGCCACTAAGGAAAGACATCAAATGTTATCATCTATACACTAAGTGCCCAAAATTTCTGCTTTTTCTGAATTCTCTCTGTCTCTCTCTGTCTCTCTGTCTCTCTCTCTGTCTCTCTCTCTCTCTGTCTCTCTCTCTGTCTCTCTCTGTCTCTCTCTCTCTCTGTCTCTCTCTCTGTCTCTCTCTCTGTCTCTCTCTCTCTCTCTCTCTCTCTCTCTCTCTCTCTCTCTCTCTTCTTGTGTCTCTCATCTTTCCCTCTACTGGGGGATGAATCCAAGTGCACTCTACCATTGAACTACATCTTCACCCTTTTTAAAATTTTATTTTGAGACAGACTTGCTAAGTTACTCAGGCTGGCCTCACACTTGTAATCCTTTTCACTTGGCCTTCTGTGTGGTTGGGATTACAGACATATGCCACCGCACAATTAATATTTAGAAATACAGAGAATTGTGTCTGGCTTGACATCTCCATTCCAAATCTGATAGAGTATTTATTAAAGACAGTTTCCAGTTAGAAAAGGTGTTAAATTTTAATATTCAAAATAGAAGGTCAACAAAGGTGACATTCACTAGAATGCCACTTTGGGACACTGATGAAGTTGGTGACAGCAGTCCAATTCTTTCCCCAAGTAAGCTGCTTGACTCTGCTATTACTTTTTTTTCTCTAATGCTTTAAACTATTAATAAGAGCAGGGAGATTACCATCATTTAACTCTGCTATAGAGGGATGCAAACATTTTTACTAGTAATGTCAGGAAAAAGGCAGGCTTAGTGGATGAGAAATAGCAGTTAATCTCCTGAGCATCTGGGACAACATTGTTGATGTTGTCCTAGTTTCACTCAACACTAGTGAAACTAGGACTGCCTGCCACAGTGAGCAAAAACCCAAGATCCTGCCCCTTGCTCTGAATCATGGATGTATACTTTCTAAAATCAGGAATTTCCCCTACTCTGCCCAATCCTTCTGCATTCTCTAGTCCTCCCTTATGTAAGTCAAAAAAAAAAAAAAAATCTACTGCTAGCTGCCAAGAACTAAGGTATTTAACCAAAGTCAACTGTGTACTGGGTTACAAATTTTCATAATGACCAGAAATGTCATGATTTCACTAATTCAAATATAAATCTGGTATTCAGGCTTACATAAAAATTTTCAAGGGCATTAAATCAGAATTATTAAAGTTTATGACTGTCCCCTAGATATGACATGCAGCTCAGATTTCAGGAAGTCTACACCAGAGAAAATGATTTAATTAGGACCAGGAGAAACAGTATACTTTGCAACCAAGCCCTACTGAAAAGACGTGGTCAAGCTTAACTGGAAATCTGAGAATAGCTTTTCTTCATTTGCATAAAATATTTAAGTCTACTGTAATGCTCTATTCCATAAAGTATAACAGGCAAAGTAATATAAAAGGATAATTATTTAAACTGACATTTGCTATTTCTTACTGAAGAAAAAGGAAAATATGCATGTCGATTCCATTACGCAGCTTTAGGCCACTGAAATTCAGTTGGAATACACTCAGAAATCTTACAGATTGTGATTACTAGCTGATTTGTTCTTATATTCCAATTTTTCAGGAGGATATTACTAAATATCAAAATGAAAAGAATTTCAATATAGTCTAAAAGATAAATAATAGTCTACTTTTCCAGAAGACATTACTAATCTCAAAATGAAAAGATTTTCACTACAGTCTAAAAAATACTGTTCTACTATTCTAATTTAAACTAGTTACTTATTTTAATCAACCAATGAAATGCTAACAACCACTACTATAATTTCATTTTGAATCCTAAACATTCCATAAACTCAAATCCTTAATTTCAAAAATAAATAATCAAATAAATAAAAAATTTTTTAAAACTCTTAATTCCAAGCACAATGTCAAGCATCAGGAACACTGGTGTTTTACATACGTAATTATTATTTCAAAAGCACTAAGTGTTCACTATGTAAATTATAAAATATATTAATATCAATAATAATAAAGTCCATACTTTGTAGATTTGTTCCTTTGTCAGCATTAAGTTGACCATATTTATATGAATCTGTTCCTGGACCTTTTACTCTATTCTATTGACCTGTTTATTGTCCTTAATGTCCTTTTACTAATACAATACTCTCGTAACAATAGATATTAGAGTAGCTATGAGGTGTCAGTGTAGGCTCATCAGTGTTAATGATTCTACTGTTCTGGTGGGGGATGATGGCGTGCATGGATGATAACATGCAGGAAGCTGTGCACCTACTGGAGTAAAAAGTATGTAGAAAATCCCTGGATCTTCCTATTAATTTTGCTCTGAATTAAAAAATGCTTTTTAAAATGGTCTTTAAAAAAAAGAGTTGTTAATATAATACATTATTTACCTCCTCAGTAGCACTTGGCTAAAATGTAAAATTATGAGGTATGATTGAAATATATGGTGGGTGTTCAAATTAAAAAAATGTTTTATATGGCTGGGGGTTTAGCTCAGCGGAGTAAGCGCCTGCCTTATAAGCAGGCAGTCTTGAGTTCAATCCCTGGTACCGATAAAAACGAAAAAGACCAAAAAAAAAAAAAAGTTTTATAGTAAAAGACACATTTGCCATTAATCCCTTTCAATCCCTCACTTCTAATTCACTTAGGTAATCCTTCTTGCCATTTTCTGAAGCAGATGTGGATATTTTCTTTGATGAATATATATATATATATTTTTTTTTTTTTTGGCTTTTTTTCGTTTTTATCGGTACCAGGAATCGAACTCACGACTGCCTGCTTTCAAGGCAGGTGCTTATGGCGCTGAGCTAAATCCCCAGCCCCATTGATGAATATTTTCATCAGGTGTGAGAAAAAATACAGCGAATGCTGTCATGAAAATAAACACTTTGAATGGATTCAGAACATTGAGGTAGCCAAAGCACAACTAAAGTCACTCACAAAAAGACTACATAACTGCTTTAGAAGGTGGTCGGAATAATGGAATAAGTGTATTTAAAGCTAGGAGGGAGTATTTTGAGGTGAATTAATAAAAGTATATCTTTTACTGTAATAATGTTTTAATTTAAACATTCGCTGCGATGCTTTGATACATCTCATACCTTTACTTGCATGATTAGCTGATTAACATGATTTTTCCCCAACTAGATTGTAAACTGCAAAGCTCTTTCTTTAGTCAGCGTAAGTTCCCTCGCACTCAACACATAGGATTTTAAAATTACTTGAAAATATATATATAAACATAAATATGGCAGATATTTTTAAATCCACAAAGCCATTGTCTTTAATGCCTCTATCAGAATTTATTTCACAGAAAAATTAGGAGTGATGTGGGGGAAGAAATAAAGGGCTTCATTTTCATTTATTTTGTCTCCTAAAGTCATTTTGTTGAAGCCTAGCATCTCTAAATTAGCTTCATAATAATAGCTTCCATTTCTGCACTATCTTTCTTCCAAAGGGCTCCTATGGCTTATAAAAAGATCTCAAAGTCAATTTTAGGGTGACTCTTCTTAGAAAATACGCTAAAAACAAACTGTCCTGCTACTAACCAAACATAATGTGCGTTCTACAAAAAAGTGTCAAATTCTATTGTAAACAGATAACCACCATCTTTTAAGATTATCTGATTTTCTTAACTGCAAAATTGGTGTGAAACACAACAGAAGCAAAAGTGCCTCTGCTTGAACTCTGATCAGGAGCCATTTGGGGTTCCTGGACAACCGCTTTTCCCTAGGTAGCCACGAGTCTCCATCTGCCCCAGTGAGCGGTGTGCTCGATTTTCATGAGCATTTGTTGACCACTTTGTGTTAGTCCACGAGCTGAGCGAGGCAAATACCTTAAGGAGTTTAGTCAAAATCTTCAGCAAACTCTTTTTTCTGATTAAGGCAGCCAATAATATCTCCAGGCATCCTGCCTGGCTGATTTGATTACTACTTGGTTGCCAAAGCAACGTAGTCCTTGCAGAGCAGGCCCAGGCTAAAGAATGAGAAAATAGATACTGCATCTCCTGCCTCCGGCAGCGAGACAGAAAAGGTCCAGCCCCCAGGCCCAGCCCCCAACTCCAAGCCTTACCCTCCTGGCTCAGCGAGGGCAGCGTGGGCAGCACCGGCCTGCCCAGCTCCTGCACATCAGGCAAGATAGTGTCCAACATTTTCAGTCCTCGGTTCCCTTCGTGCTTGATCCTCGATGGCTCTTTTCTTCCTTCTTTACAGCAAGTTTCTACTAAAGTGATTTGCTCACCACCAGCCCCCCTTTTCCCCGGGGCCTAATATGTGCTTCAGAAAAAAAAATTACCAAAATTTTGAATTTTTTAATTTTTTCTTAAATAAATGTTATTTCTCGCCGTTCCTGTCCCTTCATCGGCTCTCGGAAGGCTGTCACCGAAGAATGTTAGATGACTGTCCCGCGTTGCTCCAAAAGTGCAAAAAAAAAAAAAAAAAAAATACGCCCAGCGGAAGAGTGACAGACTGAGAGAGCGAAACGGGACCGGATAGCAGGGGCTGAGAGGAGGGGGGGGAGGAGGCGGAGCGAGTTGCTAGGACGCAATAAAGGCTCGCTCGGTTGCTAGGGTCTCAAGGCTGGGTTTCCGCCAAACGCTTAAATTGGAATTCTCTCATTATCCATCCTGCCTTATGCCTAAACCTCGGCTGATATGAGGACACCTTCCTCTCCCTGTCTGCACAGATAAGTAGTGAGCCCATTCCCTCCCGGTGGCTTGAATGAAGGATAAGCAAGCTGTGTAAATAAGCAAAGCTTTGGAAGCTTCCCCAAGATCCACGCCTCAATATGACATATCTAGATTTAAAGCCCCATCTGGTGGTGAATTAGGAATCTGTGAGAAGGAAACCAAAGCCACCACTTGTGTGTACAAGCAATTATACTTACTGCCAAAGAATACTTGTTCTTGGGAGAATGTTCCTGATTTTTCAGTTACTGCCATTTTATTTCACCCTCCTTCCATTCATTTCATTACAGCCTTACTTCTCAGTCCTTTTATTTATATTTAAATGCTCCTTTGAGAATACAGTTCTGTTTAGCATCTGTTTGGTTCTGGGTGCCCTAAGAGATTTTCTTTTGGAATTCATACATCTGCATTGTGTATAATCTTGATGGGGCGGTAATTCCAAGTGACCTTGCTCCTATTCCCAAAACTGAAAGAAGCAGATCTTTGCTCTCCTTTCCTCATCTGGACCAGGAGTCTGGTGTGTGACCTGAGCTCAGCTGTCAGAAGGTCCTTTTGAGGCTCAGATTGATGAGATAGTAAAATACTGGCAGCTGGAAAATCTGACCACTGTTATTTGGGGATGCTATAAGTTCCTCACTATGCCATGTTAGGACAGAGTTCCTAATGCCAAGCGCTCCACAGCTCCCTTGATTCCTGCCCTTTCCCAGTCTGGTGCTACCAGCTGCCATCATTCCATGGCCTTCTTAAATGTCTTCCAGTAACTCAAATCAACATCTGTGCCCCTGTCTGCTTACAATTTTATAAAACAATTAAACATCAGAGGGTATAGTGTAATAGAAGGAGGCTATCCACCTTCTGACCTCATTGTCAGAAAATAAACTTGATGAGTAGAGAGATAGGCTTAAATCCTAGCTTTCATCAGCAGAGCGGTGTGCAGTTTGTGAGGATTCTTTGAAATGAAAACCAGTAAATTAACAAATGTCAATAGTAAGATTAGACATTTCTAATGTAAATTAGATTATGTAGTCCCAGAATGGAAATAAATCCTCATAATGGCACGTTTGTTTACTTTAGGAGAAAACCAGCAGCAGCTAAGGACTCAATAGATTCCCCTTTCCCCCTCCTCTTAACTCTCTTGCACAGACAAGTGGAGACAGAACAGAAAGATCACATGCATACATACATCTAGTGTATGTTTCTGGAAAGAGAGGTTATGAGTTAGCTTTATTTTGGAGCTGAGATGACACTTGCCTAAATGTGAAGTCCTTACAAATTCTTCTAAAAGACAAAAACAAAACCTTGCAGACTCTCAGGGATCTGGGAGCACTCACTTGATCCATTAAGTAAAAGCAGTTTAAGGTTCTATTAAAAACTGTTTTATTCTCAGAGAAAAAACTGGAACAGGGTAGAAGAACTCCACTACTTAGCTGCTTGATGGAGCTCCCCTCATTGTGACTCTCTACAGATGAACACTGTCTCTGAGTTTGACAGACTGAAAGGTTGCTTCCTTTTCTAATACCTTGGGCAATCCCTTTCTCAGAGAAAAGTGACACTGTCCATAAGATAGCTGATCTTAGAAAATATATAGAACATACCCAAAAGTGTACCCATAGAGTCACTGGTTCTCAGTCTTAGATTTTTATCCAACTGCTTTTATTATTTAAATATTACGAACAGCACATTTTTTTTGTGACTGAATCTCAATACTCACTTGAGCATTTGATGAAGTTCATAGAAATAAAGAGATAAAAACAACAACAGTGGAACAAAAGCAGCACAAAACTGGTCATGGAGCCAGACATGGTGGCACATGCTAATAATCCTAGTATTTGGAAGGCAAAAGGCAAAAGGATCACCATGAATTTGAGGCCAGCCTGGGCTACATACTGAGTTCAAGGCCAGCCTGAACTACACAGAAATTCTCAATCTCAAAAAACACAACTGGTCATGGGTGCTATGAGTCATGATCTGCTAAAATGACCTACTATGATTGACTGATCAGTGTTTTAGTGTGTTATTATTAAGGAAACTAAACATTATCAGATAAGCAAACTATTTCTTGGGAGAATGACTAAAACACATGCGTATAATAGTGCAATGGCAAGCAGAAACACCAAAATGACTTCCAGGACTTGGAGGCAGACTTATTTACTGTCACTGATTAGGCTCACTCCCAAAATATCAGGCCCAAATCGCTGGTGATCTAGAGCTTTTATATGATGCACATGCAGGAAGTACAAATGAGGTACAAAGACAAGACAAAACAGCCTGGAAGCTCTTCTGATTAATAGCAGAGTGAGATCATCAGTTACAAGGGTAAATTAATGATCATCAGTTTATAAAGCATGGTACAAGGGTACAATCAGGCACTCTACATCTTTGGTTATACTGTCATGGTTACAGGGTCAAGAAAGTAATTACAAAGCCATGAAGCAGTACAGAGCTGAGTAATGTCAAAAGAACAAAGCTTAAAAAAAACCAATTTCTCTTGTACAGTTTTCCCTTTTGATAGTAATACTATATGTTGCTATTTTACTTTTAAATCTATACATAAATATACTTTACAACTAAATGCTGGAAAAGTTTTTGAACTTTTGCAAACCTAATGTAAAATCGAATTTAAAAAGTCCAAATTCTTTAAGAAAATTATCCATTAAAAATAGCATTATGCCCTTGTAAAATCATTCTTTTTATTCTACTGTATTTTTATTTTACTGTATGCAACAATGATTTTTCAAATTCGAGTTGCCAAATTTTATAAGATCAAAACAAAAGAATCCTAACTCAACCTATTTAAAATTGAATTCAGTATCCCTCTCAAAGCAGTCCTTATTTCTGTCTTCTGTAGTCATATCATCTCTTCTGAATACCTTTGCCTTGTCTTGCCTGCTTTGATCATTGTCCCAGGTCAGGTTAAATACGCTTTTTTAAAAGATATTTTTGTCAGTCTCCTGAAATAGAACTTTAAAACAATAGAACTAAAAACTCACCATGGAGATTTGATCCCAAGTACTGGCTATCAATAATGCTTTCTTGAGATCCCATAAGACCTTGCCCATTATCTCCTCCATTGCCTTTATCCTCATAATATTCTCCTGACATTGGCATCTGTTTTCCATACCAACCTAGGAGTTTATTCAAAAAAGGATGTAATACTTTTATATCCACACCACCTTGCCACAGTGTCTGGCACATAAAACAAGCATATATGTATTTACTGACTGTATTTCCCTCAATGAGATGTAACAGACACCTCTCTTGTCATATAAATGTAAGCATCACTCATGAATTTGCAAAAATTTTATCATGGATGCTACTATAATTTGCAGGGTTTTAGAAACAACAAAATTTAAGTAGTTAGCTTCTTCTTAGGTCACTTATTAATCTCTACTGCTACTCAAAAATTTGATTTGCTTAATTTACAACTTTAGTAGGATTGCTTTGAAGTGGTTCGCTAAATCTGACTCTCTAAAGGAAACTTTTATATGAGGTATTCTGTCTTTTGCTAAAGCTGATCTCTTTCTCTTCTTTCCATTTCAAATTGTTAAAACAGAATTGTGTAACAGATACCTGTATACAAAGGCATAAATAAGGATCACATTTTCCATTCATAAAATGAAATGTTTCCTGATGTTGGTACACTCCAGACATCATTTTATAAAGCCAATTTTTTTTTTAAATCATTGGGCCCTTCCACATTAAATATGGAAAAGTTATTTTCAAGGGCTGGGGATTAGCTCAGTGGCACAAGCGCCTGCATGACAAACACAAGGTTGAGAGTTCAATCCCTGGTACAAAAAAAAAGTCATTATATGAGAAACCAAGTACTTCTCTTTTTAACTCAGCCTCTTCTAGTATCTGAGTTGTCCAAGTACAGTCTAACCAGAAACAGCTGCTTATGATTTGTTTCCTCTCCGTGAGTTTGTTACCTACAGACTGATAAAAGAATGAATCAAATAAAAAATAACGAATACAATTCCAGATATGGACAGAATACAAAACTAAAGTTTTGAAAACATATGATAACTTTTTGTGAAATTTATTTTTAATTGGCAGTATGTATTATCATAAAATTTACCATCTTAATGATTTAAGTGTACAATTCAGTAGCATTATGTACATTCCCATTGTTGTGCAGCCCATCTCCAGAACTTTTCATCTTGAAAAATTAAAACTGCAGCCATTAAACAACTCCCAATTTCCCCAAAAATTAGCTCTCAGAACTATCACTCTGTTTTCTATCCCTATGATTATGACTACCATAGATACCTCATATAATAAAGTATTTTCCACTTTATATAAAGTGAAAAGTATTTTCACTTTAAAATATATAAAGTAAATAAAGTTGTAAAATATTTTTTTGTAACCAGCTTATTTTATTTGGTATAATGTCCTCAAGTTTTATTCATATAGCATGTGTCAGAAATTATTTTCTTAAGAATGAACAGTAATTCCATTGTACTGTATGTATATGAGGTGATCAAAATATAGTGATTTCAATTTTTTAAAAAATGATTATAATAGAAGACACTTTGCCATTATCCCCTCAAAATACTCCACGCTGGTTCAAACAAACTTATCCTAGCATTCCTGCCACTTTGTGAAGCAGTTCTAAAGGTCTTCTTCCTTGAATATCTTTTTGAGCTGATGAAAAATACAGTGGAGGTACAGTAAATGCTGCTACTACTATCCAACAGAAAGGCAGGCTCATAATACATTAGCGTGTGTTTTTATCCACCTTATTCACTGACTCTGGCCCTGGCGAACTTCCAGCTCTTCTCCAAAGTCAAAATGACCATGAAAGGTAAATATCCTGGCAGCTATGACATCGCAACTAAACACACTCATGAACGGCTTCAGAAAGCAGCAAGAATAATGAGACAAGTGTTATCAATGCAAGAGGGATAGGTTCTAAGGGAGATTGTTGACAATGTGTCTTTTACTGTAACAGTTTTAAAATTTAAGCATTGATCATATTGGTCAATCACTCTTTATACATTACATTTTGTTTATTCCTTTACCTACTGATAAACGCAAACCTACTTTTGCATGACTGAGGAACAATAATTTAGATCAATGGTTTGCAATCTTTTCACATGAAAGTCTTCCATTTTTTTAGTTTTATTTTTTAGACTATTTTTGCAGCAAAATTGAACAGAAAGTTCCCATTCCTTCTCTTCCCCTCATAGGTACACATGTAACTTCCCCCATTTTTAATACCCCCTTTACAGATATCCCATATATACTGTCACATTATGACACTGAATCTATAGTTTACATTAGGGTTCATTTTTGATGTTATACATTGTGTGGACACAAGTGTAATGGCTTGTATCCATCCCTACTACAAAAAATTTAAAGTCAAAATTTTTCAATACCAAGAACAAAGCTTCAGATTTTGGACCATTCTGGGTCTTGGATTTTCAGATTAGGGATGCCTACTCAGTAAAGTATATATAAATATGTTTTTAACTCTAAAATCGGAAACACTCCTGCTCACAAGCATTTTTTTTTTCACAAGCATTTTAGATAAAGGAGACTCAACCGAAATAGCACACAGAAGAATTTCACAGCCTTAAAATCCTTTGTTCTCTATTCATCCTTCTCCTCACTGAACCTTTGGCAATAGTTGATCTTTTATTCTCTCTCTATAGCTTTTCCCTTTCTAGAATGGCTTCTTTCACTTAATGTTTTTAAGGTTCCTCTATATCTTTTCATGGCTTAGTAGCTCATTTCCTTTTTGTGCTAAAAAATACTCCATTATATGTCTGGTTTTCTGAAAAACTGCCAAAGTATTTTCTGAAGGAGTTATAACATTTCACACTTCCAGCAACAATTAAAGCTTCTATTACTTTATATCACTGCCATCGTTTGTTGTCAGTATTCTAGATTTGGGCCATTATTATTATTTTTCTGTGTGATGATATCTTTTTTTTTTTAATCACTACCGGGGATCGAACTCACGACGGCCTGCTTCCAAAGCAGGTGCTTATGCCGCTGAGCTAAATCCCCAGCCCCTATCTTAACTATTTAAATATTATGTTGTCTTGATTCCTGAAGCTTTATAATAAATATTAGCATAGTATCAGTCCGTTATACTGAATATTAGTGTCATTTTCTCCAATATTGTGCTATTTTGTTTTGCTTGCCCATATAAACTATAAAATTAGTTTGCTCATAGCTGTAACAGTCTTTAGAATTTTCATTGGAATTCAGTGAAGTTGAAAAAACCAACATCTTGAAAATATAATCAATGAATGTGAAATCCATTTTTCTTCCTTGATTTTTTTGACGAGTTTGAGTTTACTTCATATATCTTTTGTACCTTGTATGTTTTGTTAAACTTATATCTAAATATGTCACTTTTCTGTGTTAATATAAAAGATATCTTAAATTTCAAATATCACTTATTCCTTGCTAATATACAAGAAAGAGGCTGAATCCATGCATTACCTTGTCCTGCAACCTTACTCTCCTCCTAAAGCCCTGTGCAATCAGGCGGTGTGTTTGGAAGATGATTCAATCATGGGGTTAGCAGCTGGCTGACTGTTAGGCAGTAAGGTCTAGTTGGAAGAGGCTTGGCCTGAGGTTTTCATCTCCCACCCAGCTCCTCCGCTGACTCTGCTTCCTGGATGCCATGACATGAACAGCTATTCTTTTGCTATGCCTCTGTACCATGCTGTCCTACCTTGTAGTAACTGAATCATGAATGAAACCTCTACAAACTGTGAGCCAAAATAAGCTTTTCCCTTCGCTTGTAGACATTGGATATTGTGTCCCAGTGATGAAAAAAAGTAATTAAAAAATTTGTAATCATTTACTAGTTCCAAAGGTTGGTTTCTTGGTTTTGCGTTTTTTATTGTTGCTGTTGTTGCAGTAATTTTTTCAAGTTTCCTACATAAATTATCGTTTCATCTGCACACAAAGATACTTTAATTTCTTCTCTTCCAATCTGCATATTTTGGTTTTCTTTACTTATTTTATTCGATTAACTAGGATTTCAGATACAATATTGAAAAGCATTGTATCTGCCCCTTTTAACCTACAACCAATCTGTTTCTCTCACGAGCATATCTTCAAATGAACCTGGACTACCTCCTGGCATTACTCTGCCTTGTTTTTACATTCTCACACTTACCTTTCCTTTACCAAAGCAATTTGGAATTAGAAGTGGCCACTTAGTAGACTTAGGACACTGTCTTGGTTACTTCCCTCTCACTGCTGAGATAAACTACCTGACACCCAAAATTAGGGAAGGAAACATTTATTTAGCTTATAATTTTTGGAAGTTTCAGTCCATGCTCAGTGGACTCCAATCCAAGGTGGCATGGCTGAGGGGCAGTTGTTTATGGCAGCAAGAGCAGAAGGGCAAAAGAGGAAAGCATGCCTCCTTCCTTCCCTTACACTGTACACCAGCTCCCTGCCCCTGGGCAGGTGCAGCACTCAGACCATCAATCCCAGTGCTAGACAACCAACCACTAACAAACTAGATTCAGCTGCCTCCATGACTGCGTAAGGCTTTGGGGAGACAAGCCATAGAGACAAACAAAATTGTTCTTATCAGAGGCATTTTAAATCAAGAGGATGTCAGGTGATCCACATGGGTTCTTGGGCTAACTGGTTTGTGTTAAATGTTCAGATAAATTTGATATTATTCTAGAAATTCTTTTTTTTTCTTTTGGACTGAGGATAGAACTCATGACCTCATGCTTGCCAAGCAGATGCTTGTGCCACTAAGCTAAACCCCCAGCCCCTGAAATTTTTCCTACTCATTTTTTTAAGAAATTCTCAAAGAACATGATTCTCAGTTTATTACAGAAACATAAAGAATATAATTATCACATATCACAAAAGAGCAATGAGCCAGTAACTGTTTCCTTGAAGTGGGAATATTTTCACTGGAGTTAAGTAGTTCTTGCAGCTAAGTCTGAAAAACTTTTGGCTAACACTGAGCACTGTAATAAAGTGGTCCAGTATTTGTCCCCTCTCCTAGTGAACCTAGGTCTGCTGCTAGTGCTATACTGATCTTAGAAAAAGAATTTTATGAATAAAGTAAAAATCTAGTTTTTACACAAATAAAGACTGGGATTAATGATAAATTCAAATGTAAGAAGGGACTTTGGGGAAAGACACTGAACCCCCTATGGGTTTAAAAGAGCCATTACATGTTTTACAGTACTGTTTGGCAAGTTCAGAATAGCTATGTCTTCGAAAACTGCTCAAAGTCTTGCATTTCAAGTTTTAATTAGCTAAAATCCAAAGATTGCCAAACAAATTCTTCCTGATATCTTTCTTCCATAAGGTGAAAGAAACCCAAAATTAATAGGCATAAAATATACTGTCACAGTCATATCATAATGAATTTGGGAAAAACCTTATACAGAAGAAAAAACCCTATCAGAAGAAAAAGTCAAACATATCCAAAGGTAAGAAAGTCTCAGCCAATACTTGCTTTCAGTATACTAAGAAAGTCAACTATTCATCATCTTTGTCCAATAAACCATTTCTAATGCTCATAAGCTACACTTCCCACACTATTGAGTGAAAACAAGGCCTCTTATATGCAAGACAAACACTTTATCACTGAGCTACATCTCACCCTTTTTAAAATTTTTGAAACAAAGTGTCACCAAGTTACCCATGCTGGCCTTGAACTTTGGATCTTTGGGCTACTATATTAAGCTAAGCCACTTTTCAAATAACTTACTGAACAAAACAATTAGCAACTTTATTAGCAATTATTATTAGCAATTACTAGTATTAGCAATTTTAAGTAACAAGAAATGTAATTAGCTATTCTGTATTTTCATAGTTTTGATGATACATGCACCAAAATTTATTATTTTAAGTATTTTATCCTTACAACAAGCTAGCTCACACATTACATTCCAAGTTTACGCATGATAGGTGATAACTAAGAACCTATGTGTGAGCTAACTTATTAGGACAAAATACCTAAGATCAAATTATAAAATTAAAAGGGAGAAAAGTTTATTTTGGCTCACAGAATTAGAGGGTTCAATCCATGGTTGTCTTGTCCTACTGCTTGGTACCTGAGGTCTGCCTGCCTCATGATACCAAGGACAGATAAGGGTCCAGGGTCCCAAGATCCCTTTCAAGGAGCATACCGTCAGTGACCCAATTTTCTTCCACTAGCCTCATTTCCCAAAGGTTCCAACAGTGCCACAAGTTGGCAACCAACCCTTTAATAATTAGGCTTTTGTGGATGTTTAAGATCCAAACTACTACAGTGTCTAATTTGTAAACTGATTTCATTTCTAATAGGTTCTACTTATCATTACTTTCTGCTGCTTCTTTTACTCGCATTATCAAACTCCCAGAGCAGAAGTGAGTTATTCTACTTTGAGCCTACTATGATTTGAACAGCTTATAATTTTGTTGAAAACAAAACCATCTTTAGATTGTTATAAAACATTTTCACTTTAACCTATAATCACTAGTCAAAGAATTAATTTTTGTATTTTTATATTTCCATCATTTTTGTATACATATCTGTTTACAATCACCTAGTTTTTTAAAAAAGCTTTAAGATACAATCATATGCAACTCATCCATCTAAAGTATGTTTTTAGTAGTTGTACAAGCATTAAAATTTTAGAGCATTTTCATCTCCCATAAAAGCCTCATACACATTAGTAGTCGATGTCATCTTCTAACCCTCAACACTCCTAAGCAACCACTAATATTTTATATAATAAGTGGACTCAAGAGTATGTGGTCTTTTGTGACTGACTTCTTTTCACTTAGCATATATTTTCAAGAATTTATCCATTCAACAGCATGTTTAATATTTCATTACTTTTTAATGCTAGTAATACTTCATTGTGTGACTATAACACACTTTACACATCAGTTGATGGACCTAAGTTTCCACTTTTGTGCTCATATGAATAATTCTAACATTCATATACAAATTTTATGAGAACATTTTTATTTCTTTTGGGTACTATCTTAAAATTTGGACTACTATAACGAAGTACACAGATTGGTGTACCAAAAATAAATGGCACTTAATTCCAGTATTTTCTGTAACCCACTAGGAATTACTTATGTCAACACCAGGCTTTTACCTTCATTCTGTACAAAAATCTGACTTGTCATACACAGGTAAATACCACATTATTTCTCTGATGAGAAACTAAAAGTAGAAATAAGGACCAAAATGTATACAAGATGTTGTGAAATAGGAAGAAAACATTCAAATGGGAAGGGAACTGGAGAGGGGAGAGGAGGAAAGAAAGGAAAAAAAATAAGAAAAGATGGAAAAAATGGAAACAAAACTTTTATAAATAAGGAAGGGAAGAGTGGTTGAAAGGTGGGTAGGGGGATGGGAGAAAAATCAAGTTATATCATGTACAGGTACAAATTCCCCATGATGAATGTGATCATTATGTACACCTAAAATGTACCAAGGGTTAGGGATACAGCTTAGCAGCATAGCACCACCCTGGCAAATGCAAGGTTCTAGGAGTCCAACATCTGATATAAAAAGAAAAAAAAGTACTAATAAATTTAATTAAAAAAAGAAAAAGTGTCTGTAGTCCCAGCATTTAGGAGGCTGAGGCACGAGGACTGCCATGAGTTCAAGGGCAGCCTGGGCTACATAGTAAGTTCAAGGCCAGCCCCAACTATATAGTAAGACCCTGTCGCAAAATAAAAAAAAATTAATAAATAATTGTTAAGAGATTTTCAGACACTTAAAACTTTTTTCTTGAGCTGGGTGCACTGGTATACTCTTGCAATCCACTATGCATAAGGCTGAATAGGGAGGATCATGTGTTTGAGGACAACCTGGGTAATTTAGTGAAACCCTGTCTCAAAAAAAAAAGTCACAGTTCAGGACTGGGAGTATAGAACAGTGATAAAGCACATGCTTCCTATATAGAGGTCCTATGTTCAACCTAAACACCAAAAAATAAAAAGTAAAACTTTCTGTCTAGTCTGTTTCCCAGAGGATAACCACACACCTCCAAAATAAAGCAAATGCTACTTCAGGGCTCTAAGAAATGACAACTGACTCTTTATTCATACTTTATTCACTACTGTGTACAGCTAGAAAAGGAGATCTAAGTTTAACTCCCATCATTTGCTCTGGAAAGCCAAAAAACTGGTTTAAATTCATTACACACGACTTTCATGGATAATCACAATCTTTTATTCCTCTTAGCAAGCCAAGGGATTGGTTCTGTTTAGTTAATACTTTCTGTTCTACTTCTATTAAAAAAGAAATCAATGGACAGGTAGAACAGATTTTGGCTACGTTATAAGTAGTTATGTGACTACATAAAGATCTAACTGGACAAAGGGACATGTTTTTGTAGCTTGGTAATCTATGTTTGCAGAGTACACATGCTATTTACAAGAATAATCATTTTGTTTCTATTAGCTGTATTGCAAATGACTGATGTTTTCTGTCCAGAGTTTTAAATGCTGTTGTACAGTCACCGTCAAGTCATGATTCAATAATGATCATTCATTAACAAGACCTGCAGGAAAATCATTAACCACTAAAAAACTAATGTACAACCATAACCCAGCAGATAGCAATCCATATCTGAATTCATCATCACTCCGAAAATTGAAGTCTAGACCGGGGGGGGGGGGACCTGAAAACAATGTGAACAAAATATACAACTTGCAAAACACATGAGACTACCAAACTTTAATAATGTAAGAAAGTACTAGTAATCATAGCAATTTTATTAAACAAAAGTGCATCTGGACATAAAAACTGACAATCAATCTATCTTAGCTGAAAAACCTTGTTAGCCATAAGTACTCCTAAATTTTTCGTATCTAAATATGTGTACTTGATGTTTTTCAAAATTTCTAATTTTGAGATATTGATTTAATATTAACTACTCTAGCAAACTACCATGAAAATAATGGAAAAATTACACATGCAATTGCCTTAAGTATTATCGTAACTAGGCTTTAAGTAAAAAAGGAATGATAGCCAAAACAAAATGTTTGCCTTTGAGTAGTATTTTAAACCTATGATGGAAAAACTCATTAGTAATAAGCATATTTTTTTTGAATATTTTTAAATTTTTAATAAAGATTTCAATGAGCTTCACAGTCACTAAACTTAGGCTTCATGATCCATTTGACTTCTTGCTTTTAAAGGGAGTCATTTGTCTTTAAAACATGACAAATCTCAAAATCCATTAAAAATTATTTTATTCACATTATGTTTTCCAAAAGAGAGGGTTTTGTGCTAGTCGTCTTTGAAAGTTTTCATACCTAGAAAAGAAAAACAATGTATTTTTATGAAAATTTAAGTAAGATCTTCCACAACTTATAAAATAACATCTCAAAAGCAATTTTGTGTGATTTAAAAAAAAAACTGAAATAAAAAAACTGATCTAGACATTTAATTACTCACACAGAGATTGCACAGTGGTTCAAGTATAAGAACAGTTTTGATTAGCTTTTAGAAGGCCCATATCAGATGAATTTTAGTAATTATCTATCTTCTGCAAATCAGAATGGTAGAAAAGACCTAAGAAAAAACATCACATTCCCTTCTCATTTCATGAATGGGCAGATGAGAGTAAGTTGCTTGTCATAAGCTGCTTAGTTATAAAACTCAAACCTAAAATATATATATTCCAGGGCTTTCCATGCTACACCAAGGTACTACTTTCTCAACAAAAACATCCTTAACTTCCTCTACCTCCTGATTTTCAAAGTAAAAAAATACTTATAAAACAAAAACATGAAGAATTTAGAGAAATAAATGCATTAGCCATTTGGGTTCAGAATGTAGTATAAACTTCCTCATGTCCTATTCACATTTTACTTTTGCTCAAAACTTTGAAGAAATACATTCACAAACAAAATACACAATTACTAAAAACCTTAATCTCTGAGATACAAAATGCTCATACCACTTCAGCACCACATTTGCTGGAATGAACATTTCAGATGGACTTGGTGTCATTTGGGCCTGAGAGACAGCAAATGATGAAGCAAAATTGTAGAAGTTGTCCAACATCTTTTGTGTGAACTGAAAAGTTTAAAAATTGACAGATTAGTGAGTTATAGACTTCTGTATTTTTAATAATAATACTGCTATATTAATCTGGTTTTACGAATCATTACATTCTAAAACAGACTAATGTTGAAAATTAAGAGCAGCCATATAGTGACACTGTAGTGGTGGTGTTCACTGGATAGGGGGATTGCTTCCTTTAAAATTTTTTCTTTTATGTCCACATCTGCATCCCTAGCCTCAAAGCCACTCTCCTCAAATCAATTTAATTTTTCAAATAAAACAGTAACCATCACCCTGCCTGTAAATCCCAGGACTCAAGAGGCTGAGTCAGGAGGATTTCCAAGCTCAAGGGCAGCCTAGACTACATAGTGAGTTCAAGGCTGGCCTGAAGTACATAGTGAGACCCTGTTTCCAAAAAAAATAATAAAATAAAGCCAGTAACTATCTCTAAGACGACTTTTCCTGACAAAGAGCTTAAGGACAAAGGGAAGAGGGGAAGAGAGGAGGAGGATAAGAAAGGAGAGGAGGGTAGAGGAAGAGATGTAGTAAGTCCAAGACCAGCTTGAACTACATAATAAGACCAACATCTCCCTCAAAAAAAAAAAAAACAAGTAACCATCTTTTCTTGACAAAGAACTGAATGATGCAGGGAAGAGGGGAGGAGAGGAGAATGAGCCAATTCTTCCTAACCAAACTTATAAATTCAATGCTACTTACAAGATTTTCCACAGAAGTTGACAAGATAATACTGCTTCATGGAACTAAACAAGCTAACACAATTAAGAATATTAAGCTTATTTTGATGAGTAGAAGGAGAAACTTGGCCTACCAGGTACTTAGACTTACTGGCAAATAAACTGAGAAGACAGAAGCACAAGCCCTAAATAAAATCTAAGTATATATAACAATATGATACAGAATAAAGGAATTATTTCCTAGGGGAGAAAAATAGCACTAACTGTTCAAATAATGGGTTTAGTTACCCTCATATTCCAAAGAGGGAAAAAAAGGTAAAACCTAAGACTTCATAAAAGAGTATCTTCACATAGCAAGAAGGGGGAAAAAAAATCTTACAAGTAAATTTGTCTAGATAAAAATGTATCTGAATATAAAAAGATACCATGAGCAAATTAAAAGATTAGCAACATGCCAGGACAAAACTAAAACGTATATACACAGGATTATTATCCAGAACACATAAAAGCTTTCGTTCCAGGAAACTAAAATTAAAAACTACAAAAACAGAATATTACACAAAATATGTCAAATTCCAGTAAAACACAAATATAAATCAAAATGTGAAAAGATGCTCCATATCACTAGTAATGAAGAAGTATAAATTAAGCATGAAATTCAAATTGTCACATAGGTTTGGAGAAACTGATAAATATTAGGTCTGATAAATATTAGTGAGAATGTATGAACATCAATCCATATGAAAAACTGGCTCATTCATACCACGGTATACTGCACAACAATTACAACAAATTAGATCTATTCCATAAATCAACAGAGAAAATCTGAAGTATAATGTTGAGTTAGCAAAAACAAGTTATATACAATACGCTACTATTTATATTCATTTTTTAAATGTGAAATATAAGAAGTGATCAAAATATATGGTGTTTACATTTTTAAAAATATATCACAATAAATGACATATTGCCATCAGTTCTCGAAATACTCCCCGTCATTTCAAACGTATTTATTTCATCATTTTTGTCACTTTTTAAAGTTCTCTTTCATGAGTGTCTTTATGAGGTATGATTAAAAAAAAAAAAAATGCCATGGTCAAGTGTAATCTAATTGAGAAAGCCAGGCTGGTAAAAACATTATGGTATTTCCTCATCCAAATTATTCATTAGATCTGGCGCCATGTGACTTATACATATAACTCTTTCCCAAGTCAAAGTGACCATGAAAGGTAAACAGTTTTTAAATTGATTTAGGACATCAAGGCACCCATGACAATGCAACTGAAAGCACAAAAGAGAACTTCCACAAAGTAGAATGTGGCAATAGGCTGGGAATGGTGGCACACACTTACAACCCCAGCACTCTCTGGAGACTGAGGCAGGAGGCTTACCGCACGTTCAAGGACAGCCTGGGCTATCTACTGAATTCAAGGCTACCCTGGAATACATAGTAAGATCTTGTTTTAAAAACAAAACAAAAAATTGTGGCATTAATGGGATGAATGTGTTTGAAAGAGGGAGGTGGCATTTTGAGGAGGATGAATATCTTCACTGTAGCAAATTTTTTAAATTTTAAGCATTCATTGTTTCTGTCATACCTCACACTGCATATACATCAAAAAGGAAAAATAAAGGAATTGGAAGGCAAAGGATTCAACATCGAAAGGAAAGTAATTTTTACAGAAAAAAAGAAAATAATATCCTGAATATAATCACCCCACAACCCAGAAAATAATTAGTCCGCAATAGAACAAAAAAAAGAGAGTTATAATTCTAAGACAAATGTAAAACTAATCTGCTTAGATATACTGAAAGAGAATTTACATTCAGCAGAATTTAGGCACAAAGTAGAATTAGAAACACAGAAATCTATGCAAAAGAAAAAACAAGGCACTTATAAGAAAAAGTGATACAAGTAACCATCTCTAACAAACTCCTTTTCTTAACAAAGAACTTAATGGTGGAGAATATAAATACAATCATACTACACATGGCTCAATTCTGAAAATTTACATAGTAATAATACAAAAAGTTTGAATCTTTTTTTGAATTTTAATAAAATTCTATATTGGGAAAGTGGGGTGTGTGTGTGTACTATGCCATGCATATATGTGTGTGTATTAACAAAGAAAAAAGTAAAACCACTAGGTTTCGTATTGGTAATACAATGAAAATATCTTTTTTTTTTCTTTTTTTTTTGTATTTTTACTGGTACCAGGGATCGAACTCTCGACCACAGGCTTACAAGGCAGGCACTTATGCTGCTGAGCTAAATCCCCAGCCCCATACAATGAAAATATCTTTAACAAAAGTTAACAACAGATTTTTAAGCAAGCTTTATCTGATTCAAGAAAATAATAAACAAATAGAAATAGACAAAAAAAAAAAAAAAAGGAAGTGGTTGAAAGTGATTGCTCCTAAGTAATAAGAACTGTGGGAGCAACAAAACCCAAAATGTGTAATTGTCATTGTACAAAAGAGAGGAAAAGAAAGTGCTCTAAACGATATAACTGCATGTATATATAAGTGTATAAGATAGATAATGATATCACTGAGTTTTGTTGGATCATTGAACAGAACTGTTTGCAGTCTCACTGTTGGAATGTCCACTTTACAAGCTTTAATTTTGTGACTTCAACAATTATTTCTAAGATGATAATATGTAATCCATTAACTAGTGATTTCCTACTGTTTATTTTTTTCTGTAAATCTGTATAACTTGTACCCTTTCTCTGTTTTTTTTTTCTCCTTAAATAAAATTAAAAAAAAAAAAAAAAAAGAAAGTGATTGCTCCTACGGAGCAGAACAGGAGTGCTTAAGTGTAACTATTTGTCTTTGTAAAATACGTACATATACTACTCTGATAAAAATTTAAATGAAGTAAAAGTAATTAAGTAGTTAAATTAAAAACATATTTAAAGGGGGCTGGGGATTTAGCTCAGCGGCATAAACACCTGCCTTGCAAGCAGGCAGTCGTGAGTTTGATCCCTGGCACCGATAAAAAGGAAAAGGACAAAAAAAAAATTTTTTGCACTTAAACACAAATGTAGTATTAGATGAATACTGAAATAGGAGTAGGAAAGATCTATATAAACTCAGAAGAATAGCTATTTAGGTAGCAAAATAGAGGGAAGAAGAAAACAGCAATTGGATATACCTTTAATTTTTTATTTCTTCTTTTAAAAAAGTAATAGGGTCTAGAGATGCAGCACATGCTTAGCATGCCACACAAAACTCTGGGTTCAATTCTCAGCATTAGAAAAAAAAAATA